TCGGCTTTGTTTGGATCGTCCTTTCTCTTAAATTGCTGTGCAAACTCGTGATCCGTGAGACTTAATGTGATTTCTCCTGAGCGTTTGACATGACCAGGAGGCGGGGTAGGGTTGGGGATGAGTGTAGGAGGGGGTTATTCAGTGACTGACTAGATTACAGAGGTGAACTGCCTTTGGCCTGGGTTTATAATGAGACCTTGGATCACCAGACTAATACTTCCTCAGAAGTCTGCAGACGCACTGGAGCACTCGTGTGCGTGTCCCTGAGCTGGTCCTGTGGGACTGGTTTTTGCTCTGTATGAATGATAAATAGTGAGGGCGGAGTAGAATGATAGCTGATGACAATGTTAGAACTTCCGTCCCCAAAGCATTTGGGATTCAGTTGACATCAGTGTTACTGCAGGAATTCCAAAGAATGTAACATCTTGGTAAAGAAATTAGAGTTTGGGTTGGGCCCTAATGGATGGTAGGATTTGAGAGGAGGGGAGGGTGTGTGTGTGTGTGTGTGTGTGTGTGTGTGTGTGTGTCAGATTTAGCAAGTGAAAATATGTTTTATGTAACATTTGAGACATACACTAAATGTTATTCATCATTTATCTGAAACTAAAATTTAATTGGCCAATCCATTATTTTATCCAACAACCCTAAATAGAAAGTTTTTTTTTAGTGGAAGGTGAGTATTCAGGGAGCAGTGAGTAGGCAGTGTGGTGGTTTGAGAGGATTCAGACAGAAGTGGAGGAGTGAGGTGGAAGGATGGGAGAGATGGGAGGAGGAGGAGGAGAAGGGGTGAGGTGGAGTGGGATTAAGGGCACTAGGTGCCAGGTCATGGCTAATGCACCCTTGGGCAGCTGCTCTTTGCACAAATCTGTAAGCACACTGTGTAGTCCATGCTTTGTATTCCACATGATGACAGTAAGATTATTCTCCCAGAGCATTTTATCTTGGAACAAAGAAACAGGACTGATGGAGGGAAAGAGAATACAAAAATATGGTCCACCTTCAGAGTTTATCCAAAAGGTGAGAATTGTGTAAAGAATCAGTCAGCCTTATACCCCAGGTACTTTGCATGGTAGGGCAGATCATATGCCTTTCTTGAGTTCTATGTGTTTTTCTGTGCACTGCCATTTATTTTATTTATTTATTTGTTTGTTATTTATTTGTTTATTTATTTATTTATTTTTAGCGATCGTTCAGATGTATGTTTTTCTGAAGCTGATTAGTACCTGGCCATGAACTTTGACAGATCTTCAAGGGTGCCTGGACCTGGGACCTCAGATAATATCTCAGGGCTCCCCAGTGCTCAGAAGCTCTGGCAGGCATTCTCTGACGCCCGCTACAGCCTAGGACCCTGACCCCATCCCAGCTTCCCTGGCAGAGAGAAGGAAGGCACGCACCTTCCTGTAGCCCCTGGAGAAGATTCCTAGGAGAGTTCCTTCCCCGAATAAGCCCAGGCTGTTTAGGCTGCGGCCATCCTCTGGCCCGTGGCTGTGGTGGGGAGACCAGCCTTGCCCAAACTACGTGGAATGAGGAGCTCTGTGATAAGAAAAGGAAAGGCAGGCTGAGCAGTGACAAGAGTGGCTATTGATGACAGCTGGTATCGCAAATCAACTCTTTGCACTGTTACCGTAATCTGTTTTGCCTATGCTGTGAAGGGCATTGATTACAAAATGGGAGGATTCTTTCCATCCTTTACACTGGGCACCCTGGACCCCATTTTCTAGATCAAAGTCTGCTACTCCTCCCTCTCTCCTCTCCACTCTCCACTCTCTCCTCTCCCACACCACCACACACACACACACACACACACACACACACACACGGGCAAGAAACATAAAAAAGGGGAGGGGGAGTAGGTAATTCATTGGGTTGTCAATCTTTAAAACAAAAACAAAACAAATCTATGGTTTTATAAAATTAAGGACATCTTAAAACAAAGGGTGAGGGGGTTCTTCTGAAAAAGGACTGCATTTAAGAAATTAAATGTCATGAAGAAATTACTGTCATCTAGATTAGTCTTTTCCTGAGTGTTTTCACGGAGGCAGGTCTGGTGGAGCTCGCCTTCTGTGCTTATTTATTGTATGGCCCGTCAGCAGCAGAGCACAGGCTGGAGCCCAGGTCTCCTGTTCACAGGTTGGCCTCCAGGTCGTCTGTTAATAAAATGCCAGGATTTCAATGAAAACTTTTTTTATCGAGAGCATTTGTATGACATCTTGGTTCCTATTTGTGAACCACAAGTGACATTGATCATTGATGTCATCAAAGTTGAGTTCCTTACAGTAAATTTTTCTTAAAGCCGGTTGGTGTTTGGGAGGCTCCATGTTGTAAATCTTCCCCCTCCCTCCCAAATATGCTGAGCACTTGCTGTGTGCCAAGCACTGCCATAGGCTCTGGGGATGGAACCACAAACAAGACTGAAGTCCCTGCTCAGTAAAGTCTGCATTCTAGTGAGGGAGACAGACAGCAAATGGAGAAAAAAATGTAATTCAATTCATGTAAGTGCCAGGAAGGAATTTTTCAAATAATTTTGATCTGTGGATTAACTTCTTGGATAGGAATGAAGTCTCACCCATTTCATACCAAACCCTATTATCTTTTAAGCTTTCCTGTGTTGGGAAACTTAGCTGCAAGCAGCATGACTGGTTGGAAAGGTGAAGCTGGTGGCTCCAGGCAGAATGGGGTTAAGAAAAACGGGGTTCTCAGGGGCCCATTTTTATCCAGCACCCAAAACAGTGTGGAGAATTCAGGTGTGATCTAGGCTGGTGTGGCTAATGGACAACACATAGGATTGAGTACAACAGGGGGAGTAGGGGATAAATATGTCAGCTACTAGTGTGCATGCTTCCCCTTACACTGCACTGATTGCCGATGCATTAGCTCAGGTCCCCCCCCAATCACAGTAGGTTGGTTTCTGTTGTCCCCACTTTACAGGTGAGGAAATCCAGTCTTAGTAGAGAATCAAACAACTTACCCAAGGCCAGAAGGCCAGTAAGCAGTGGAGTGAGGAAGTCTTGACTACAGAGCCGTTTGCTTAGTCTTCAGCGTAATCCAGGATACATTGGGCCAATAGTGTCAGGGCCCCAACCAGTTCAAGTGGGTTCTAGACAAAAGCAGGGCCCACTAGATAAGCCAAGACAGCAGCCAACAGAATAAACAGTGACACTCGGAGAGGCAGGCCCCTGGGTGCCCAGGGTGGTTTTACGGGGCCAACAACAGGAAACCAGACCAGTTCCAGATCCCAGCTGCTTTGGGTGGAAGCTGTTAAAATCTCCCTTGCCTTGGCCAGGACTTTCTTCCAGGCTTGAGGCCACCCAGAGCTGGGGGGGAGGTGGGGGAGGTGGGAGAGGGTGTTTGCCACCAGTGTGTGCCTTGTTGTGCATGGTCTTTCCTCTTAGCTGCCAGTAAACCAGAGTTACGGTCTGAAGAGGGGATTTCTGTCTCTACCCCTTGCTTCTTGTGTGGTCGTTGGGCACCTTAATGACTCTGAGCCCCCAGTTCTCAAACCTGTAAAATAGGGGTAACACTTAACAACTTCACAGGATGAGGGGTGAGCTTAAAGCAGACAATATGCCATCTGTAGAGAGCCTAGCCTGTGTGTGACACTTGGAAATGGTAGTGGGGTTGATATGATCAACACCAAAACTAACTTTGAAAATAGCCCCATTTGAGGGAGGGGATCCGTTTTTGTCTGTCACTTTGTTTGGTGGAGGGGGGTACACAGGCGGATGTTCATGGAGAGGGGATTCTGAAAGTAAGCAGGTTGTGTCCAGGGGTTCATGGTGTGCATGCCTCTTGGTTGCTAGGTGACATGCTGCTCTGTGGAGAAGAAACCCGCCATTTCACTGAGGCCAGACTTGATGTGAGCCTCTAGTTGTGCCAGACAGGCCTTCCAGGCTGAGTTCCGCAGCACCCGGGCTCAGCAGAGGAGCTGAGAGGCCCGTGAGGCCGGGCGTCGGAGGTGGTGGCAGTCTCTGTCCCCATCGTTCTGGCGGTGGAGAGGGTCCCCAGGAGAACACAGGAACTGCTGTAGCTGCTGGCCCCTCTCCCGAGCCGCTGTTCTGGGTGTCCTGGCCACATGAGTTAACTTTTCCATTTGGAAGGGTTATTGGTGCAGTTGGCAGCCACTTGCCTGGTAAACGATATGGTGGGGCCTCCATAAACCCAGACCCATGAAACGAATAAGTCAGCACATTGAAAATACAGCATGGAAGTGACTCAAGCCTGAAGGAATCCACTTCTGAAAGTGCTGCCATCCCTTCCTGGAATATTTTGGTGGAAATTGATGTTTGGGTTGGGAAGAAGAGGCCAGTGGCCTGGTGACTAGTAGGAGCATGCGTCACAAAAAGCAGCATTTGCCCCAAGATTCGTCACCCTGCCCCCAAGACCTTGGGCCCCCCTTCTCACTGAGGTGGTCCCAGGCAGGTCACCCTGGTACAGTAAGCCCTCTAGAGCTCCGGGCTGCGGGAGCTGGTGTGGCCCTGTCTTTGCAGCAGGTAAGGTTGACTCTACAAATCAACCTGGTAATGCTTGGCCAGGGGCCTGGAAAGTACTGGAAACTGCACCCAGCATGGGAGCCTGTGGGAGTGCGCCGCCATGGACGGGCTACTCTTCTCAGAGCTCTGGATTCCTGTGTGTTTAAAATGTTTACCTTCTTCTCGGACTTCAGCTTGTGCTTTGCCCACCGGAGACCAATATGAGCAAATACATACTTAACTGTACCAGACCACCCTGGCGACCAGGTAATTAAAGCACGCAGATTTGGAAGGAAGGCTGTATTGGAAATCACGCTCCACTGTAATTCAAGAACAGGTTTCTTTATAGAGGGACACAGTTGGTGTCAGACACATGTGGAAAAGAAAAGAGCAGGCCCATGATTCTGGCAGGATACCAAGGGCCAGATGTTAAATATGCTGACCGTGATCTGGCTGTAGTTGCCGTTAGCCAGCCTGGATCTGATGTGTTATTTTAACCCCTGTTTCTGCCTTTTCCTTTCTCTCTGCCAGGTTCCCAGTCTATGTGAAGATCTCCTGTCTTCTGTTGACCAGCCACTGAAAATCGCCCGAGACAAAGTGGTGGGAAAGGATTACCTTTTGTGTGACTACAACAGAGACGGGGACTCCTATAGGTGAGCTCCTGCCCTTAGTCGTTCCAGGCCGCACCCTGGGCAGTCAGTGCCACATGGCAGCACCTGGACTACTGAACATGGACAGGCAGCAGCCCACCGACCTTGTTTACATTTGTCCTTCTGTTAGTCCTTCCTCCCTCTCTTCCTCCTTTCTTCCTTGCAGTCAGCCAGCTGTTGTGGAGTGCCTTCAGTCAGGATCGGAGATGTAGCATGAACAAAAGGCCTCTGCCCTGGTGGAGCTCACAGTCTAAGGGGAAGGGATGTGAGCAGTGTCATAGTTCAGTCCTGCAAAAGGCAGGGTACAAGATGTGGATGTGATGGGGCTCCTGAGCACAGGGAGGGCCTATGTGCTTAAGGGACATTTGAAAGTCGCTTTGTCAAACAAATACGCAACTCTCCTTTCTCTTTTCCATCACCATGCTGAGGGCAATAAATAACGTGACAGAAGCCCCTACTCTGGGTGATCACTGGTCTAGCACCAAAGATGTATCCAGCAGCCGATTATTGTATGATATGATTCATGCAGTCACTGCCAAGCTTATTCAGGGTTTGAGGATAGCATAGAAGAGACCATGGTTGAGTCCAAGAGGGCTTTCTGAAGGAGGTGATGTTTGAGCTAGGTTTTTCGCAGTTTATCTTATTTCTGTTGATTTCAGAGAGGAAGGGAGAGGGTGAGATAGATAGAAACATCAGTGATGAGAGAGAGTCATTGATTGGCTGCCTCTGCACACCCCACACTGGGGATCGAGCCCACAACGCAGTCAAGTGCCCTTAGCTGGAATTGAACCTGGGACCCTTCAATCCACAATCCAATGCTCTATCCACTGAGCCAAACCACCTTGAGCTGAGATTTTTAAGGATGTCTCAGATCCCTTTTTAGCTTCAAATGGAAGTTAGGTAGAGAATGTATTTTGGCCTAATCCAAGCCAGACCAGAGACTAGAGTTGAGAGGGTGAATAGCAGTCTACTTGTAAAAGCTGAGCCAGCAGAGTGTGCACATGGATGGGATATGAAGGGCAGTTGCAAGGCTTTGGCCTGAGCAGTTGGAAGGTGGGGTCACTGTTTATCGAGGTGGAGAAGACTCTGGGAGTTTCTGGGTTGGGGGCATTTTAAGCTCCAGATGCCCTTTAATGAATGTGGAGATGTCCAGTAGACTGTCCATAGCCTCGGTGCCTGCGTGGAGAGGGAGGTGCAGGTGGGAGTGGCCAGCACAGAGTGGTGAAGCATCAATTGTGAGCATAGGCCCAGGTCCAGTCATCGCTGGGAACCTCCTAGGAGAGGGGGGACCAGCCCTTTGAGAGAAAGACCCTTGAGGGTCTAAGGACAAGCAGCCTCACCAGGCAGGGTTCAAAGGCTTCCTGGAAGAGGTGAACCTTGAACTGAGTCATTCTTAGTCAAGGTCATTATGTTTCCTTTTTCCACCTGAAAACTCCAGCTTGCTGTGTGAGGCAGCTATTCCCCAGCAGCCTGTGGAAGGCTGGGATCACGGCCACATCCATGCCAAGGCCGGGATCCTTGGGGGACTTGGTATCTGCCTCTCCTCCGGGTGATCCTGCCAGCTCTAAACTTGGTTCCTCAGGCACTCCAGAGGAGCCTGGTGTCAGAGCCCAGGACTTCTCTTCCCTTTTCCCTCTTTTTGATATAAAACTTCAAGGCCTTCTGATTTTCCCCACACATTTCCATCCTGTTTGATCGTTTGCTTAAATAAGATCCTTATGGCGTGGCCGTTGCCAGCAGCACTGTTTGAAACCTGTTAGCTGAAACAAAAAGCATTCTCTGAGGGAAATGAAAGGCCTGACTTTTGAAATCTAAGTGTTCCTGTCCATCTGTCTTTTTTCAAATGGCCTCCGTTTAAGCTCTTAAATGTGTTCTGAGTGCCCCTTCCACACAGAATATTCTGGGTAATGTTATGATTTCCCCCCCAGCTACAATTACCCCGGCTCCAGGACTAACAGCTTGAAATGCTGTCGTCTGTGAGCCAGGAGAAATGTGAGTTACAGGCTTCTTGAAAATTCCAGGCTCCCAGTCTGCAGGAAAGATGGGCTCTTGTGTCTAATCAGGTCGCCTTTAAATGAAAGCCAGTTGGGCGCGTCTTTCAGGCCCACAAGACGGCGGCCGCTTCACTGGGGAAGCGAAGGGCTGGAGGCCAGAGCCTGAGTGCGCTGAGGAGACTCAGAGAGCACCTGTAGGGGGAGGGGGCTCAGATTCTCGCTCTCAGGTGGTTTTCCACACCCACTGGCGACTGGAACTACCAAGCCTAGTTTTCAAATCGGGAGGTGATTGCACCCTTCAACTGCACCTTGTCTCTGGTTCTGCGGAGAGGTCTGCCTTGTCTCTGGAAATGCAGAAAGTTGCTCCATCTCTGTTGGTTAGCAGGAGCACAGCAGACTGTGAACCTGGGGGTCATTTCTTCCCCACCCCGCGCTGTACGTCACTAGCCCTTACTGCACAGGACTCGGTGCTAGGTGCGGTGTGAGGGCAAGCCGCACAGGCTCACTACTCAACATTCTCTTGCAGTCTGGGGCGAGGGAGGGGTAGACTATGGTTAGAATCGACATCTGTGTGGCAGTGAGGGGACAGGGCGGGGGGGATGTTACCTCTGCTTTGGAGAGTGATATATAAGAATTGATTTATTCTTTGAACAGCACTTTTTAAAAATTAGCATGTGGTTGAGTGCCAGGCACTGTTCTAGGTGCTGATCACATGATGGAGAACAAGACAAAAGATTCGCCCTGTTGGAGTTCAGGTTCTGGAGTTGGCTAGCCAAATTCAAATTAATTCAAATTAAATTAATGAAAATTTCAGTTCCTCAAGTTGCATTGGCCACATGTACCAGTAGCCACACACACTCATGGCTGCCATCTTGGACAGCATAGACGGAGAATATTTCTGTTGCGATGGGAAATCCTGTTGAGCAGCACTGTTTTGAGGGATGACCAGAAACGTCTGGCACCCTTGATCAAGAAGGAAGAGGTCTTCCTTGCTTGCTGACGTAGGATGCCTGGTGGGGTGCCAGTTATCAAGAAGAGATTGATTTGTGCCCAGGATTCAGTAAAACGGGTTCAGGAGACTGTGATACATTTTTCCTTAACGTCCATCCCAAATTGAAAAGTTCCTTTGCGCCCTCAGTGATTTGAGGTGTGCTGTCAGCAGGCGAGACGGGAAGGGTAGTGTGGGCTTCTCACAGCGGATGACGTGTCAGGGTGTAAAGGGCTTTGTCCACATTTCCCATTTTCTCCTTCCCATTCCGCTCACCTTCTTACTGTCTCTCCTTCTGCAAACCCCCAGCTCTCTGAACTCCACCTGCAGGGTTTAATGAGTAGACAGCTCCCTTATAACCCCCTCCCAGTACTCTGTGTGATGAAATGCTTTCCTGATGTGGCAAATAATGTTTTTTAAAATGCGGCAAGCCTTTGGGCTGGCAAAGCAGAGACTGGTTCTCATTTAGCAGTCCTTATGTGTATATGGCCCTCGGCGTTGGGAAAGCTGCTCTCTGTCCCGCGGAGAACCTGATGGCTTTCTTATGTGTAATCCGCGTCTCCATGGGCCTAGTCTCTTGCTCACTTCCCTAAAGCAGCTTCTCTTCATCCGTAACTGTGTAAGAAGGTCTTTGGAGTGAAACTTTCCCCTGAGCTGCAGCAGGTCAGGGAGGAGAGAGGGCATCTCTCTTGGTCGGTACAGTGGTGAAAACGGGGACATTAGAAAGGGGGTAAGAAAGAAAGCACAGTTGTTGAACACTCACTCTATAGCAGGCTCTGGCCCAGGCATTTCAGATTGTATTTTCTCTTTTGCTCCTCACAGCAGCCCATGGGGAGAATGTGGTAGCTTCATTTTACAGAGGTATCATGTCACTTGCCAGAAGCACACCTGGTGAGAGGTGGACCATGGGCTCATACCCAAGCGGGCTGCTGCTGAGCCCTCAAAAATGCTGCGTTTGTTGTCAGGGCCTGGAAAATCTTCGCTGTGAGCAGTGGCTTTTTCTCTGAAATTTTGGACAGCTGGGGCTTGGACTCACGGGTCACAGGTGGTGTCTTCCCAAAATGATACATGTCACCTCCTTCTCCTTCCTTCCTCCAGGTCACCATGGAGTAACAAGTATGACCCTCCCTTGGAAGATGGGGCCATGCCTTCTGCTCGGCTGAGGAAGCTGGAGGTGGAAGCCAACAATGCCTTTGACCAGTATCGAGACCTGTGAGTTCCTTGCTCCTGGTGCCTTGAGCTCTCACGGTTTAATGAGCCCATCACAAATAAGAGAGGGGCCAGGCCCATAGATTCCCTGGAACCTACTACTTGGCCTGCCTAGCTCTTTAAAATTCTCTGCACCCAGAGCAGATGCTGGGCACTAGTTTTCTAGCTGGGTCAGTGAGGAGATGGCTTAGTGGTAAAATGCTGTCATTAGTAGCCTTATCTGTGCATTGCTTCATGCCATGGTTCCTGACAGCAGCAGGTGCTGTTGGACAGCACCTAGTGTGAGTAAGACACCATGCCAGGCATTTCCAACATGTCACAAATCCCCACAAACATGATGGCTGTTTTAGTTCTCACTTTTCAGATGAAGAAATTAAGGCTCAGATAAAGGTGTTTGTCCCAGGCAAGAGGCTGAGCCAGGAATCAAACCCAAGCGTATCTTCAAAGACCCCTCTGTTCTTGTTCATACTGCATGTCTGACCCAGTTCTTACCTGATGCCCGGGGGTCCCAGCTTCCAGACCAGTCACAGTGCAGGACAAGTCGAGGTCCTTAACACAGTGGAGCTGACATTTTGCTGCTCCTGAGTTGCTCCTCAGGAAGTGGTTTCACCGGTTCTGGTTAGATCCCTACCTCTTCTTCCTTCTCCCATCAAGTCCTGCCTCCCACCCACCGCCAACAGGAGTGGCCACTTAATCAACCAGCCTTGCAAGAAAAAGCTCCAGAAAGGTTATTCTCCACAGTATTCTTTTTTTTTTTTTTTTTTTTAATATATTTTATTGATTTTGTACAGAGAGGAAGGGAGAGATAGAGAGTTAGAAACATCGACGAGAGAGAGTCATCAATCAGCTGCCTCCTGCACACCCCCCACTGGGGATATGCCCGCATCCAAGGCACATGCCCTTGACCGGAATCGAACCCGGGACCCTTCAGTCCCCAAGCCGACGCTCTATCCATTGAGCCAAACCGGCCCCGGCACAGTATTCTTTTTTAATCAACAGGATCACATTTTCTTATTTTTTTCTTTTCTTTTTTTCACATTTTCACTTAAGTTCTATATTACATAGCGAAACTGTACAAACTCAGTCACCTAGAGAGGGATTGGCGGGCTTTTCTGTAAAAGGCCAGGTAGTAAAAATGTTAAGCTCTGCAGGCTACATAAGTCCCTGCTGCTTTCTCTTTTTATTTTACATTACCTTTTAAAGGTGTAAACATGATCTCCTGAGCCTAAGGTGGGTGGCATTGCACCCTGATCGAGGATATGGACAGGAAAAGAGTGAAACCGAGCCGCTGAGTGCTGAGCCTGAGCTGCCCTGGAGCGGAGCTGCTGGTGTCTCACTTGGCGTGGGAATTCCAGGTCTCTGCTCCCAGACGTTGGAATGCTCTTCCAGCTCATAGCAGATGTGATGTCACACATTTAGTGAAGACTCTTTCAGATGCTGGTTCAGGAGGAAAAGTGGCATCTCAGCCCGATACACAAATAACCCTACCACCTTTCAGCAGATGAATGGCATTGAGGGGCACAGCACGGCCAAATGCCGCTCTGTTTTCAGAATGCACTACTGTGCATTTTACCTACATTACCTTGATCCTTTTGAGAACATCTGGGCAACACACTCTTGCCCCTTTTTTACAGATGAAGAGACTGAGGCTCCAAGAGGCTAAAGGACTCGCAGTAGGCTGCAGGAAGTAGAGGTGAAAAGCTAGGGTTTAAATTCATATTTGACTGAAGTTTCCACAGATTATTGCTCTTCACAGTTGCTCTCCAGTATTTGAAGAGCTTTTATACTAGAACTTTCCCCCATAGTAGAAGAGTTACTACCTGGGACAAACACCTTTATCTGACTAGTTGGCAAGAAGCCAATCCAGTTACTAAGAATTGCCAAGCAGAATCAATTTTATATTATAGTGATGATTTGATAATAATAGTGATGATAACAGCAGTTGCCAGCCGGTGACTGTGCAAGCACTGTGTTAACTGCCTCATGATCTTCTTCATCTCATTTAACCTCCCAACAGCCTGTGAGAGAGGATTCTCCCTGTTTTACAAATGAGTTGACAGATTCAAGAGTTGAATAACTTGCCCAAGTTCACACAGCCAATAAGTTGGGGGACTGGACTAGGAAGCCATCCTTATCCAACTCCAGAGTCCATTTACTCACCTGGCATTTGAATGCTTGCTATGAGCTGGGTACTTGCTAAGTAGGGGGCCAGAGCTGGGTCTGACTGTACAGCACCTTCCTGGCAGATGTCCACTTTACCAGTGACTTTAAAGTTTTTTTTTAAATTAATTTATTATCTCAATTTCTTTTATATATATATATATATATATATATATATATATATATATATATATACACACACACACACACACACACACACACACACATATACATTTATTTATTTATTGAATTTTTACAGAAAGGAAGAGAGAGGGATAGAGAGTTAGAAACATCGATGAGAGAGAATCATCGATCAGCTGCCTCTTGCACACCCCCTACTGGGGATGTGCCCGCAACCAATGTACATGCCCTTGACCAGAATCGAACCTGGGACCTTCGAGTCCGCAGGCCGACGCTCTATCCACTGAGCCAAACCGGTTTCGGCGACTTTAAAGTCTTAATGGCTGCATTTCTGTGTGCCTACACTCTCCTCTGAGAGTGAGCTGACCTGCTGGGGGGGACATCTTCCTGTACCCCATGGGGTTAAATTGGACAAGCCAAACCCTGAGGTTCTGTGGCAGTGTGTGATGGTGGAATCCAGCCTATAGGGTGTTGCTCTGTCCCCAGCAGTGTTGGTGCGCTGCTTCTGGGGGGTGGGAGGGGCGGTACAAGGCCGCTGAACAGCACCCACAGAGGGGGCAGGGAGGCCTGGTTCTCCCATGTGACAGCAGCCACTGGCCAATGGAGGGACGGTGGTTAGAGCTGTCACTGGGGACCCAAAATCATCAGTTTGAACACCCCTTCTCCCTCCCCTCCCTCCAGTGTTAGCAGCGTGCACTGGTGAGCGCTGTCCTGAGACCGAATGTCAGGAGCATTTCCCAGCTGGGCCACACATGAGCCACACCATTCTGGGTTGGAGTTGGTGATGGTCACGTTGGTGGCCATGGTGGGGCCCGGAGCCTGAGTCTTTTCCTCGTGGTTTTGGAGCAGACGAAGATAACCAGGGCCTAGGATGCCTGTCTCTGCCTTGAGCAACACAAGCTCGAGGGTTTTTTACTCTGGGCTTTCTAGGGGCCACATTGTTCCATGGCTGAAGGGCCAGTAGGTTGTGCCTTCTCTTCATCCTCAGCCCGCCCCAGGAGAGACTCATTGGTTTGCCCGGTGAATGAAGCCGCAGAGCTCTGACGTGGTTTGTCCATCTGTCTCCCTTTCACATTGGCAGTGGGCAAGGCAGAGTCACTCTGAGGGGAGGCATGCCCTCTCCCCAACCCCACGCCATGATGATGCCTCCAATCTGTAGGTCCTGGTCACTCTGAGCTGCTGCAGGAGGGGTCTGGAGATGGCCTGTGTCCTGGGCCTGGTGACAGGAGCCCAGGGCCTCTGGCAGCCCCACCTCTGCCAGAAAGAAAAGGGAGCAATTGAAAAAGCTGTTTCCCGAGAGCAGGGCTGGCACAGCATAGTGCCCAGGAGGGCGGATGAGTGGGGCTGCCCCACTCCAAACTGGAGCTTGGCCTCCGCCCACAGGGATTGAGGGATGTGAAGAGCAGACCTGTCCCCATGCTCTCTGGGTCTTGATAACTCAGGTGTTTCTGAATTCTTGAATCCCGATGAATGGCAGTTAGGACTGGGCTTATTCTCTGGCCCCTGGACCTCTCACCCCCTCAAATAGCTGAACGCTGCCAGACTCCAGCCACGTTGAGGCTCAGAGTCCTTGTGGTGAGTGCTGTGCTGTACTGTGCCTTCGGGAGACTTCTTGTCCTGGGTCCATTCTCCCTGTCCTGGGAGGCCCAACTGGGCTCAGCTCTCTCCTGCCCTGTCTGCCTCTCCTGTGCCTTAGAACTGAACTTGGGGGGATTTTTGCTGTCATCAGTAAATAGGCAGACACAGCTTCAGCCAGCACCGGCAGTGTATGTGCGCATGCGCAGTGTTGACACAGCACCCTTGTTCCCTTTCCTCCTTGCTGCGTGTGGGCCATTAGCCCTGCTTCCTCCTGATGTTCTCCTTAAGAGGATGAGGGAAGTGGACCCAGTGAGCATACAGAGATTTGGAGCTGAAATGCAGGGCAGTGTCCTGCTGGAGCTATGCCAGCTCTTCCCAGGGGCAGGTGCTCCCTGATCCCACAGGCTTCTCTCCGCCATGAGCATCCTGGGGAAGGCCTTGGATCTGTCCTGGGCTCTGGGCCTTGCTCCGGGGCCTGTTAAGGCTCTGACTTCGCAGGGAATTAGAATTAATTGTCAGCACATGGAGTTGGTATGGTCTGGGTGAGGGAGGGGGGCCAGGGATGGATGAACTAGCAGGCTCTCCGGCTCTTAACTCCTCTGGGGATGTGGCATCCCCTTTTGCCTGCGCACAGCATTTCTCCATATGGAATAAATGTGCCAGCAGTCGGGGGCAGGACTCTTTCCCCAAGGTGGGCAGAGGTGAGTGGGGGCCCAGAGACACGAGCTGTGTGTCCTGCATGATCCCTTGAAGCCATCCATTCCTTGTCGTCCTACTGCTCAGAGCTCTCTACTGCACCCTCAACCCCAACTTACACCCCCTCCCACATTCATCGGGGTTTTTGTTTGCCATCATTAGTGGCAGAACGGGTCCATGTTAGTAACCTCCCACTCCCTCCAGGAAGATAACTGTCAAGCAACTGTTAGCACTACCCAGACAGTCTGTTTTTGGATTGAAATAGTCAGTTTGCTGAGGACAGGCATGTTTTGCTGGGGCTGGGTGAGATCATTGTCTACTCTGAAGTCATCTTGAATTTCATCACTTCCCTCCCCCTAATCTCTCCCATCCTGTTCCCCAACACCTGGTCTACTCTCGTTCTTCCCTATCAAGCCCCCAGATGGCGT